TTATTTAATATGTACAATGTACTATAATTTACTTATGTTTACATATGTGTTACAGGTATTTTCCTGACATTACAGCTATGAAAATGCAGTCTCTTTGCCTAAGCTCAACACTGGTGACTGGAGTTAAAAGAGGGATACTCTCAGTCTATAGTTTGTGAAAAATGGCAAATAAATTTGAAGGTTTACAGGAGGAACATGCATCAGTATTTAGGGATACTGAGTTAGCTAAATCAAAATCAGTCTGTATGGATGGTTTCTAATAATATAGTAATATGTTACTTAGAAAACTATGTAATCAAGTCATAGTCAGAAATGAACAATGCCGGTAGATGTTTTTATTTAATTTAACTTTTGCTACAGAGCACATGCATATACCAGATAGAGGGAAAGTGAGAAAACACCCCCAGGGGATCCTGAGGTAGTGGTGGCCACACTGCAGTCCCTTCTCATCCATTCTCCTCTTGGGATTTTGGGTATGCACGCACAAGTGCCTGGTGTGGTTTCTATGACATGGGGTCCAGAACTCAAACCATGGAGTAGGCCATGTGGGGTCAGCCACCTTAACCTCCATGCCATCTGCTAGGCCCAGTGCTGGTAGTTTTTAGCAAAATTAGTTAAGTGGTCAGGAATACATTATTGTTTCAATGTCTACATAAACGTTGATGTGAAAGGATTCAGACTCTGAAATTTGGCATGTAGAAGTGCTTGGCAAGTAGCCCTCCTTGTCGGGTAGCTGTTCAGTAACTGCTGAATCTGAATCTAGACTGTGTGGAAGAGGTCTCAGCATATCCCTGACGTTAGTGTCTTCACATATACATTAATCCAGCTGGGGCAGAATTCACTCGTTTAGAATGCCAGACTTTTACAGAAATAGCTTTGTTTTCATTTGCAGGTTCTGACTTTTAAACAGGTTCAGAAATTCACATGATCAGCTAAGATCTTATTCTGGGAGGCAAAGGAAAAAAAAAAAAAAAACCACTAACTGCTGTGAATACTTTTCAGAAAGAAAAAAATATATAAACACCAGAAGTCACAGTCAGAAGGCATTCTTCTCTTCTTTTACTCTCGTCCTGCTGGAAAATGCCGCTGGTATACATCAGTGTTCTTTTAATGCAGGATAGGTGAAACGGCCTTCACTAGAACTTTCCCCTCTGAACTGCTAACACGGTACACCTGAGAATGTGAGCACAGTAGGTCAGCCTAAACCCTATTACTCAACTCTATTTTCTGTCACCTTTTTCTCCACAACTCTGACAACCAACTGTGATTTCTGGAAGATACATGGATACAGGAGCTGCCTCCAAACAATTTAGAATTTAGTTCTGAGTTTGTCGTGGACAAGAGTTGTGCCCCCAAATCTCATTCTCATTGCTTATGAAGTTCTAGCTAGTACATTTAGACCCCAAATTCAAATTCAGGTCTATCTAATAACCAAATCCCATGGTCATTACATTTCAGTCCATTGTCTCTGAGGCTACTGCCCAAATGAAAGACAGTTTCCATCTGATTTATGGTCACCATTGCAGGGTTTTTCTTTCCAAGGAAATTTAACAAAAGGAAGAAACTATTAATACTGAGCGTATTTACATTTTTTAAAAAACTACTTTTTACTGTCTACCACCAGAATTCTAAAAGAAATTTTTTTTTCTTTGTCAGTATCACTTAAATGCTTTGATTGAATGCACAGAGCTTTATTTTTCGCTTTTTTCTCTTTCAATTACTGTCAGGCTTTGGAATATAAGTCAGTAGTGTGCAGCCATTAAACTTCAGTTAAAATCTACTTAACTAAATTAGTTCTCATAAAGAGTTATCTCACAGATTCCAAACAGTGTAGAGCTGGATTTAACAATTATAGACATTTATTTATTTTTAAAAGTTAGATTAAAAATTCTCTGTTTGATCTTTACTTCCAATACCAGCTCTGGAATATAGAATCAAAATATAATCTAGCTAGTTACAGACATTACTGCGGTGAACTGCATGAACTTTCTTTTTATTTGAGGGCATGGAGAAATTCTTTTCTTTTCTTTCCCATTTTTTATCTTTTAGAGAGACTTTGCCTTAGGGTGTGTGTGCTCGTCAGAGAAATAGAGACAGAGAGACATAAAGCGAGCAATCCCCATCCCCCAGGGGGGATGGCCATACCACTTCTCCACCAGTCTCCTCTCAGGATTTTGGGCATGTATGCACACATGCCTGGTGAGTTTGAAGACACTGGGTCTGGGACTTCAACCCTGGTCGACTATGTGTGAGTCCAGTGACATAACCATTATACCATCTGCTGGTTCCTCTTTCTATTTTTTTTTATGTAATTTACATATACCAAAGGATATTGGAGCATATATCTAACTTATGAAACATAACACTTATTTCCTATGAATCTACTTCGAATGACTGAGTGAATTTAGAAGAGTATTGTTGAGGATTCTGTGTGCTTTCCCCTGATCATATCCTCCCACATACCCAGAAATAAGCCCTCTCCAGAACTTTATATATATCCTTCCTTAGCTTTTATTAGTCTTATCTTTTTTCCTGTGGCAAAGAGGTTATTTTCTGGGTTTGTTACTATTTCACAAATACCTTAAACTTAAGAGAATGTTCTTAAAACTAAAATTTAGCATGTTAGAAGCTAATGTACATGAGTGTCTGTGCACTGTCTGAGCATAGTAGATTTAAATGCATATGTAATGAAACTTTGATAAGATTTTGCTGAACTGTGTTTTCCAAATGCTACAAAATCAGCCTTTTGTTTTATTGAACATGTAGAAAAGATCCGTATGGTAACTAGTTCTTGGTATCACTTAGTCTTTTCCAGCATTGCAACTGTGTCTTTTTCACATCCATTTATCAAGTGTGAGGGAAAAAATTATGAATATAGCTATTATTTGTTGTGCTGTCTGACTTTGCTGGTTATATTTAATTGTGCATTTATATAAAATTCAAATTGATTTTCAAATTTTATGTATTTTAAATTCAAATGACCTTTTTTGGTATAAGTTTTTTTCCTAAAGAATTATTTAATTTTATTTATTATTATTATTATTTAATTTACCATAAGGCATGTATGCTCACCAGAAAGAGACAGAGAAAGAAAGGGGGAAAGTGAAAAAGCAAGAGAGAGAAAGGAGGAAAGAGAGAAAGCAAGCTGCCAGGTCCAGGACTTGAACCGTGACTGCCTATGTGGGAGTCTAGTGCCCCAACCACAACATCACCTGCTGGCCCCTGGTGTAACTTTTTTATAATAATGTTTACATTTCAGAAGATTTTGAGGTCATTATACATTTAGACTATAACATCTTTTACACAGATTTTGAGATAATATGTTTTTGTAAAATATTTTCATGATTAGTTTATGTTTATTTAGTTGTTTACTTATGTATTTGTTATTCAGTAGAAGATGCAACACTAAATTTTTAAAAAATAATAACTTACTTTTTAAGAGCAAAAAAACCTATAAATTACCATTATAAATAAATGCAATTTGGATTAAAGGTAAGTTATCCAAGGGATATATTTTAGTAAATAAGACTTTAAAGAAAGAATTTTTCCCCTTTGAGTTTGTGGAAGTTACTTCAATACCATTAGGGTGAAAATTTACATTTTGAACCATATGCCCTTTTTCTATAGTGACAGAAATAATGATTTTGGGATCAGCAGTTAGCGTAATGGCTATGTCACTGGACTCCCATGTGGTTGACCGCGGTTTGAGTCCCGGACCCAGTGGCTTAAACTCACGCCAGGCATGTGTGCATGCGTGCCCAAGATCCCGAGAGGAGAATGGAGGAGAAAGGATTGCAGTGTGGCCATCCCTCCAGGGGGTGATTTCTTGCTTTCTATCTCTCTGTCTTTCTGGCAAGCTCACACGCCCTATAGCAAAAACCTCTCCAAAAAAAAAAGGAAAGAAATAATGATTTCTTTCTTTGTGCTAATGGTAAATAAAGAAGTATCTTAGATGGAGCCAGTAGGTCATGGGGTGGTTGAGGTACTAGACTCCCACATGACTGACCACAGTTTGTGGCCTAGACCCGCAGTTAACATGATAAAATTACACTGGACACATGTGTGTGTATGCCCAAAATTCCAAGAGAGAATGGAGGAGGCAGGATTGTAGCATGGTCGTGGGGTGTGTGTTTGGGGGTGGGGGGGATGATTTCTCACTTTTCTTCTCTCTGTGTCTGCCTGGTGAATGCATGCACCCTATGGGGGGAAAAAGGTATCTTAGGAACTAAAAAATAAGAGAACAATTTTGTCCTCTTTTCCAGTTTGAATTAAAAGACAAATGAAAGCTGAGAAATATGCCTAATGACTACATTAATTCTTGTGAATGTTATGCTCCGTCTTATATAGTTAGGCTAGTTATGAACAGAGCTGGGACTTGTAAAGACAACTTCAAGCAGCCATTTTGATTTGGTCTTTATTAGCAGGGTGTGGCTAATGCTACGTGGACAGGCAACTTGGCCATAGCCACAAGAAGGATAAAGCAGATATAGTAAAGATGTTTGATTCTGAGCTGAAATTTGGGTAGGATCAATAGTATTTAGATTCTTTCTGAAATTAAAAAAAAACTAACGAACGTTTCGATGGAAGGAAAGATGCAGGA